GGAAACTATTTTACAGATATGTTTTCAATTCATAGATTTCTCTTTTTGGCTGCCTATCAGTCATAAAAACAGACCAAAGTTCTCAAATGAGATCTGCAACATTTGCAAAATTTACATGCATTTTGGGTATAAACAGAATCACAATGAAAAATTGTCATCCAATGTCAAATGTCATTATTAGGCGATTTCATCAACATTTAAAATCCTTTCCCAAGGCTCACAAGACCAATAACTGGACTGAAACACTCCTAGTTGTTCTATTTGGTATTCTACAGGCATCTTGTACAGAGCTGGTGTATGGCACAACTTTCAGGCTGCCTATTCATTTGATAACACCATCTGAGATATCTCTATGTGACACTTAATTCATCACTAATCTCCAGCATAGAATGCATCAACTAAACCCAATAGCAACATTGGCACGTTGTCAAGATAAGTACTATGTAAGTTCTACCTAAAAACCGTGTATGCATGTATACTTACATATTGATCGAGCAAAGCCACCACTGTGCCAGCCATACTCAGGCCTGCACAAGGTCCTCACCAGAATGGACAAAACTTTCACAGTTGAAGTAAACAGCTTTAAGTCTACAGACCATGTAAAACCAGCCTGTTTGCTTTCATACTCCAATTTGTCTAAACTAAAATCAAATGGAGACTTAAAGATGGTTCAACAGAATAAATAAATCTGCTAATGAACTTTCTAAGATGAAAACAAGATTGGAAAGGCATGTCATTTCTCAAAGAAACTTGCTTGTTACATTACAATTTAATTTTTTTTTTTTTTAAATTTGCCTTGTCACATATTTATTAATATTTCAGTTTATGTATGTGCATTATTATCTTGTCATATGTTGAATTGCATTTTGATTTCTTCTAATTTTATATCCTAATTTTGCTTTGGGGGGGCGAGACTTCACAGTATATGAAATATTTCCTAATCTGATGTCATTCCTTTAAATTGCTATCGAAGGAACTGGGGAGAAAGTCTGTACTGATAACAATAAGAAGTAAGCATTGTGCCTTGGTTGCTGCCGATAAATATGGCAAACCTAAGGAGATTTTGGAGAAGCAGAGAGGGAAAATAGAGACCAGCTGTCGAGGATTAGTGCTTGTATCTTGTCCTAAAATAAAAATGAATTTTTGTTGTGTATGTCTGGTTAAAGTTTTGTTTAATGCAGCGAGAATATTTAATATGATATGAACAAGGAGGATCGGTGGATACCAGTTTCATATTTGAAAATTAGGCATAAAATATGTTCCTGTTAATATATGGAATTGATCTTAACATTTTTCTCCACTCTCTTTATTTTTAATTTGCCATTATATGAAAATTCAGCAGCAATAATAAAACTCTTTAAAAAACTTTCTTTAGATTCTTTGAACCATGTTTTAAGATTCTTTTCATCTCTGATGATAAATAAATAGATCACTTTTTATTGCAGTCATTTAAATGCACCCAAGATTGTGACAACAATAGATAAATTTCCATTTTTGTCCTGATAAACCATTCTCTCAAAAAGCATTCTGCAGCACGTGCATTCAGTGGTATGTCTTAGTAAAAAATGGTGCACATTATGTTTCCCCCCCCCCTTCAACTTTTTAAGATTCAAATCCGCATTATTCAAATTATTTATAGTTGACACAGAGCATTTTAATGATTTTGCAACTTTCAAAATGTTCAATTTTTCTTTCGATAGATATTTGGAACAATTTTTTCACTTGAAGCCAAACTTTTCAAACAAGACATTTCCTTTCTTGTTGAGATTATTACCGATCATACCTTTATATATCGAAAAACCATGGCTTTTACAGTGTTTTTTAATTGCTAGATACGAATAATTTTCTTTGGAAAGAGCAGAGCCTTCCATCCATAGTTCCTTAAAAGTGCCATTTTGCATGAAAACAAAACTGTTAAGTAGCAGATGATAGTTTATACTTTCAAAAATATAGTTGCAGATAAAACAAAAATTTCCAAGCAGACAATTCTTTTTCATACAGCAAAGCAAAATCATCTAAAAAATGTGCAAACAGTCTCTGTATAAAACTTGCTGCTGTATGCATAATAAACAATTGAATGTTGAGCAGGTATACAGTGTGATGAAAATTATGAGAATGCATCCTCATTTTTCTTTTTCTTCCCCCTCCAGATTATTCCCCCATGTCAGTTCATTGGTAGGGTATGGTATTGGTTGCTTTTTATTCTTCCATAGTAACATTTTTCAGAATCATCACTAATATTAAGCATTTCAGTTCATCGTAGGTATAAATTATTTTGAAGTGCAAGCTTTGTGCAGGGCTGTCAGATTTTTCAAAACTTACCTAATTGTACCATTTTTAAAAGAATCTCATTTTGTAAATGTGATACATTAGTTCAAGAAAATCATTATTCATTAAACAATTTTCATAATGTTATAAATATAGAATTGTTAAGAATATATTTATATCTTTAAAGTAAGTGCCTTGTTATTGAACCTAGTGGATTCACTTTTCTGATCAGTTTTCATGCTTGGGTTTTTATGAATAGCATATTCCTTAAGAGTATAAATATTTCTTCAAAAGTAATGCTGGATGTACAGTTTGTTAATATAAAATACTTGGTATTAATTTAGAAGTGAAACAACAAAAATCAGCGTTATATTTTCAAATTTTCACAGGACTAGTTTCGATGGTTTTACCGAACCATCATCCTCAGCTGCAAAAGTGCAAATGAACAAAGTAAGATATAATGATAAGATTAGAAAACCTAGACAGGAGATAAGCTACTGGCGCCATCTCTTGATGAAACCAGAACTAAAACATAATTCCTTTAAAGGCTGAAGGCAAAGATGGAATTACTTTCGTTAACTAGAACAGAAAGATTTTTTTGAATGTCAAATGCCTCTAGAAAATCTAGTTCACCAATGGAAGATGTTTTTTGAATAATTTTGGCAGCAGAAAAACTTAAAGTATGATTTTCAGACCAGCAATGTTGAGCAACAGAAGACTTCTGTGTTTCCTTTTTTCTAACATATACCTCATGTTCCTTAACGCAAAATTGTAAGGCTCTCTTAGTTTGGCCAATGTAAATTAAACCACACTGGCAAAGAATTGTGTAAATATTTCAGGAATTCATATCCGGAATAGGGTCCTTAAGTATTTTATTGATGGGAGAATAATTAAAATTTTGCATTAAGGAACATGAGGCATATGTTAGAAAAAAGGAAACACAGAAGTCTTCTGTCACTCAACATTGTTGGTCCGAAAAAATCGCACTTTCAATTTTTCTGCTGCCAGAATTATTCAAAAAACATCTTCCATTAGTGAACTAGATTTTCTAGAACCATTTCACATTCAAAAAAATCTTTCTGTTCTAGTTAATGACCCTAATTCTAATCCATCTTTGCCTTCTTATCTTATCTTATCATTATATCTTACTTCATTCATTTGTGCTTTTGCAGCTGAGGATGATGGCGGTTCGGTAAAATCATCGAAACTAGTCCTGTGAAAATTTGAAAATATAACACTAATGTTTTTGTTTGACTTCTAAATTAATATTTGTCCGGCATGTTGTTGTATTTTAATTAAAAATACTTGAATAAATGGTGTTCCTTTTTTTACAAAAGAATTCTTTGCTGTGTCAAAAAATTGCCACATTATTTAGTCATTTTTGTCTTGTACTGACATAATTATCTTTATATATTATATAATTTTATTTAAGAAATATAATACTTTTGTATTCAGTAAATCTTGATAAGGTAGTTTTTAAGCTACGAGTTTGTTTAGATGAGCTGTTAATATGAGAACAATCCAAATTTTATATAAAAATTGTAAAGGGAATTTGTAAACGAAACTCGGAAAAAGTGTGACCTATAATTTAAAGAATTCTCTAATCCATGTACCTCTTGGCCATTAGTTGTTCAAATTATTGAAATTCTCCTATATAAGGCCAGCTAAAAATATTTGTTTCATCATTTTTTATTTATTTTTAATGAAGCCCTTTCTCTTTCTCGAAAACAAAACAGCACAAGTTGGAGTTTTACCACTTTTCCTCTGAATTGTTAAGCAAAAATTCATTAAAATTCCAAGTTTATTAGGGTGAAATTATGACACCAAAGATAATTTTTTTTTTAATTTGTTTTGTTTTCTGTAATTGAAATCGTGACGTAAAGGATGATGTTTTTCATTTCATTAGTCACTGCTGTTTTTCAAAGCTTCATATGAAAGTGGCAGTGTAAAACAACATTAATGTTAGAAATTAATAAGGTTTATTATGGGGATTTAGTTAAGCAGAACTAGATTTATAGCAGATGGGTATTAGGAATGCTTTGTTTTCAGTGTGAAGTGTATCAATATTCTCATAATCACTAATAAAATTCTAAGTAATACAGTTAAGCAGCAATAAGTGTCACAGCATGGAAAATTGAGTACATAAAAAAAAAAAGTATTGTTCAACTGAATGATGAAAGGAACACAGGAGGAAAGTCATTATTCTATTAAATTTTGGAAAATAATCATGCTTCATTTCCATCATCATCCTATTTTAACCACACTTCTAACAATATTGTGAGTTTTTTTTTTTTTTTTTTTTTTTTTTTTTTTCCCAATTCAGATCTTTAATATCAAATCATAAATATCATATGTGATTTGATAGATTACAACATTTAATCAAAGTTTAATGTCATTTGAAAGAATTAATGGGATTTTGCTGGTAGAAAAAGAAGCAAATTGGTCTTCTTCTTCTTCTTCTCTCTCTCTCTCTCTCTCTTTTTTTTTTTTTTTTTTTTTTGTTTTTCCGATATTTTTTTTTTATTTTAGTTCTGCCTAGTATTTTTTATTTAAAAAAAAAGGCTGCCATTAATTATCATTATTAAATAACAGTATTGAACTTCATTGATAGTTATGTTCCTACATAAAATTCAAAATCATTTAAAACCAAAGTTACTTCTCTCATTTAAGTATCTTAGTAATTTTGCATTTTAGTAACTAGCTCACATTAAACTTTAATTATCATTATGTAGTGATCCCACTATTTTGGATGAATGTGGCCTAGATCCTCAGACAAAAGAAACCTTATTATCTAATATAAAGCGAAGATTGACGCCCCAAGCTGTAAGAATACGTGCAGGTATGTTTTTACCTTATGTAAAATTTTTATTTACAGAATTGCTTACATAATACATAAAATCTTTTGCATAATTCATAAAATGTGAAGAGATAAATTATTGTTGACCAAGATTTTCATTGTTACAATGAGTGGGGGATTATTGGAAACAGGATAGTTAATATGAGTGTCATGGTTTTATAAAATATTACTTTGCTTTTTATATTTTCTTAAATGTTAAAATTGCGTTGTTTTGAAATTACGTTGTCTCATTATTGTATACTGACAAGAATCCATTTCTTAGCTTATGCTGAAAAATAAAATTATTTAAATATTAAATGCAGTTTTACATGTAAGAACTATGTAGCATATTGCTTTTAAAATCGACTGCTTTCAAGGAAAAAATTTAAGTAATATTGTTACAAATTTTATACATAGTTAGATAATGTTAGTGTAATTATACATGAAATTGTTTTATTTTCTGTATAATGTAAGATGAAAAGCTGAGAGAAGTGATCCTGTGTCAGAAAAATAAGAATACAGGGACAAGTTTATTTAACATTGAGCAAATGGCTATCTCACTAATTTAGAGAGATATTGCCAAACTGGCGGTGGCTTTGCCGACTAATTTTTGTCACCAAATTTGGTGGTGCCAAGCTTGGAGACATTGTAGTCCCATCCCTGTATAGCTGTAATGGATACTGTAATTGACACTTTGTGTAACTGTAACTGTATTCAGTCTTCATATGCCTTCTGGTAATTTTGAGGAGCAAAAATTACTAGAAACATTTCGGCAACTAGGTGAACATATAAGACTGGAGAGAGCATCAGTTTCTCAGCTGTAGTAGTTGTTAATTCATTATAAGTTTGGAGTGCCAAGATATGTTTGGGTTAGCTTGGCTCTTTAGATATGCTTTGTATTTTGTTGTGTTTAGCATTCTTAACAGTTTCGTGTGAACTATTGATTATACTGAGTGATATTGCAAAGAGTTTTTTTTTTTTTTTTTTCTATGTTTCAGAACTGTGGATTTCTTTGTATAAAAATTTTTTTATCAAGATGTCATTGGCTCTGCATGCATTCAGTATTTATGAACCCATACGCATGCAACAGTTGTTGGTGTCAGAAGTGGGTTTGAATGCCAGTGACAATAGTGATGGAGGAGGGAATAAGACAGCTCGTGGCAGTCTTTGCTTCATTCAAAGAACAAGATAAAAACAGGACAAGAATTTGTTAAAGAAAAATGAAGGCAAGCTAAGAAAAGATGGAAGGGTCCATCAACTCTGATAAAGAAGAGATGAAGGTGGGCCAAGAAAAGATGGAAGGGACAGTCAAGTCCATTAAAGAGGGGATGAAAGGTGGTCAAAAAGAAATGACAGCAGGTCAAGGGGAAATGAAAAAAGAAATTACTGCCTTAGTAGAAAATAAATTTAAAGTTATGGAAGGCAGAATAAATGAAATTGAAAACAGAGTTGAAGAAAGAGTTTCTGCTGTCGTCAAAGAAGTTTACACCACAAAGAAATTCATAGCGATTGCAGGAAGCAATTCTGATGGTTTTAAAATCTTTGCCCATGTCTTCTGTCCCCCTCTAAAGCTCTCCATATATGATAGTACAACATCCTAGCAGATGTATAATAGTCGGTTTTTCTCTAGTGGTAGGCACAAATTGCATGCGATTCCAAAGTCAGGCTTGCAATCTCCCCGCTTCTTTGAGCAGGCGCAGCAGATGTCCTTCAAACTCTGCCCGAAAAGCAGAAGCTAGACTTCAAAACTATTCAGCACACTGGAAGTGCACTTTTGCAAGAAGTGTGCAAAAAATTATAGCAGGCTTCACTTAAAATCTTACCAACAGAAGCCCACAGAATCACGCCAGGAGCTTGCCATGAATGTAGAAAGGCTGTCTCATCTTGCCTTTTCGAACTGCCTGTGCAAAACAAGGGAAATTCTGTCCCTGCTACTGCAGGACAGAATTTCCGCTTCATCGATGACATCCAGGATCCTGAGATACAGAAAGCCCTGTGAATGGTGGGTATCAAGGATTTAAAAAGCACTCTGGTGTACGCTAGGGAATTCAACGTAACCCAGCAAGCAACCCATAGCCCCAACCAAGCAGAACTGCTCAGGAGCCAGGGAATCAAGTGACTGCTCATCTTGACAAGTCAATGCCTTGAGATGGAATAAGAATGCAACAGACTAACCCTATAGTGCAGGAAATGCGGTGGTGAAGGCCACGTACAAAGAAGTTACAGAACACCCCAGAGCATGGAAGCAAAGACCTCTCCCAACCAGAAGGAGGGAAACTAATTACTATCCATCTCATGGGGCGGAGGGTGCCAGATAATGAGAAGCCCCATTTTAAAGCGCTTCAGATTTCAGCAGTAAATGTTAGCAGTAATGGACTCTTCATCATGGGATATATCAATGAAGTTCCTTGCAAATATGACCATCAATACAAGAGCCAGTGTTACCATCATCTCAAAAGAGTTGGCTCGACAATTGGAAGGTAAACTTATTTTTACAATGCCCTGTGTAACTCTCTAGACTGTGTCCAGAAATAAAATCAACATTGATAGAAAATTAAACATAACATCATGTTAAACATAACCTACCATTACAAGGCTATTTGAATTTTGCCTTGAACTTTAAAAATAAGGAACTGCATTCTGCCTCTTAGGACATAATCTTATTCGGAATTAATGATAAGGGAGTTAAATCTGTCCAACAAAGTTGAGATGATATCACTATACCAGCAAAAACAGAAATATCCGGTATGGCATAATAGAATGTCCCCAAAACTGTAGCATCTCGCGATGAATACTAGTAGCCTCAACACTCATCGACTTATCGAGAACAGTTATTCCGGTGAGAGATGCTAATGTCAGTGATACAGTTAAAATCATTAGGAATGGTGAAGTGGTTGCAGCATGCGGTCCAGTGACCTGTGTTTAATAACCCAATAGTCCATCAGTCTCTGTGTCTCTGAGACCTTAGTATCGAAGTTGTTGCAAAATGCACCTAAGCGATAAAGAGAGGAGTGCTAGCAAATGTGCCATTCAAGAATGTTCAGATGTTTTCTCCTGCTTGTCTTCTGACAGGTTGAACCAGTCTGACACAACAAAGAATTGTTATAGGGGTGCTTCCAAGATGTCTACTAGTTGCTAAATAGGAAGAGATAGGAAAACTTCTGAAAGATGTGCAAGAAAGTAACGTTAGCAAACATTCAGCTCCTTTGGGCCTCTCCCAAGGTCAGGAAGAAAAATGTTTCAACTAGATTTTTGTGTTGACTATCGTTGGTTGAACAAGCTTATGAAGAAAGGCAGCTATCCTCTTCTAGAAATGACAACATTCTGGACACTGTTTCTCAAAGCAAGTGGTTTGTGATGCTTGATTTAAAGAGTGGATATTGGCAGTTAGAGATACATCCTGATGTCCGAGAAAAGATGGCTTTTACTACCGGACAAGGGCTTTGGCAGTTCAAGATGATGCCCTTTGTTATGTAATGCACCGGCAACATTCAATTGCCTCATGGAAACCGTTCTGAAGACCATTTAGAAAATATTAGGAAGGTACTTCAGATATTGCAGAAAGCAAATCTAAAATTAAGTCTCGCCAAATGTAAATTTTTCAGACAAGAAGTGACATGTCATCTCTGCTCAAGGTGTCTGTACGGATCCAAGCAAAAGTGTCAGCAGTGAAAGACTGAAGATGTCCCAAAAATGATGGCTTTTCTTCCATCACAGAAACCCTTCACAAACAGCCAGAGAGCAAGCAAAGGTTCTTGTAGGCAGGAGAATGTGAGAGTGCATTTAACAAACTGAAAGAGGCTTTAACACCTGCAAACAACCCTCAGCTTAACAAGCAATTTATTCTTGACGTAGGTGCTAGGAATGAGAGTCTCATTGCTCTTTTGTCCCAACAAATAAATGGTCAAGAATGGTTCATAACATACTGGAAGTGCCTATCTAAACCATAGAGAAATTGCTGTGTCACCAGGAAAGAGTTGCTTGTGGTAGTTAAAGTCTTGGAACAGTTCATCATTATCTCTATGCGTCCGAACAGATCATGCATTGTTGACCTGGCTCTTAAATTTTAAGAATCCTGAAGGGTAAATAGCCAGTTGGATACAGAGACCTGTGGAGAGAAAGAAGAAGTTGTGAAAGACCAGACGAAGGATAATAAATCTAAACCCATAATTGACTTAATGGAATATTCAACTAAAAAACCTGCATGGTAGGGCATTTCACTCGATGGTCAAGTAACAAAACAGTATTGGACTCCAGTATTGGACTCTCTGAGACTTACCCTATATTCAAACAGGCATTTTGTACTGGAGGTTCAAATCAGGTGATAGGAAGGCATTTTAAGATCCTTTAAAGAAGTACATGGCAATCCAACAGGAGACCATTTTGGTATAATGAAGACTTTGCATAGAGTTCGAGAGCACTTCTACTAGAGTAATGCAAAGATTTTTTTTTTAAATTATTTTATTTTTAGTAGTAGCAGATGAACATACGATTTATTGTCTAGAGCAGTGTTGACGAACCTATGGTACGCATGCCACGGTCGGCACGGAGAGCCTCATTAGCCAGCACATGACTAAAATATTACTTCCTTAATCAATAATCACATTAAAATGATACTATGTAATTTAAATAAGTGTTTTAGTCTGCTCTTGAACATTTCACTTACTTATTGCATAATGCCATTGGCATATGGCCTAAGCCTAGATATAAGATTTTCATATTGTTACGTTTTTTTTTCTGACACCAGTTGTTATGTTATTTTCTTCCTTTACATTCGTACGGTATTGTAGATTTGGAGTGAATAATGACGATGCTACTTGATGAAATAGTGAAACACACTTTATTTAGCCAATATTAATCAGGACAGCTCCAAAGTCATGTTTTACAGTCGTCGAAGATCTACTATACACTCGCTAGAACAATCAAATCGCTGCAAAGCACCAGAGTACAGCTCCCAACTCTGCTTGATCGTTCTCGGAACTCCACATACTCTCGAGACTCTCCACACTACAACTCAACGACGCACAGAACACAGCTCCCGACTCTTCGGTTCAGTTGTTCCCAGAGCTCAACACACTCTCTCGACAATGCACTAACCGTGAGACACTAATCGATGCACTCAGCACTTGCTGGCCGGCTGTCAACTCGATTGTCTCCGCACGGACTAACTAGATGAGACACACTCACTAACTGACTGCGGACCACCATTTACCAAGGTTTATATAGCTTTAAAATGCAAAAGTATATGCTTATGTAGAAATATGTGGTTCATAATAAACTTTCTTAACATAATTTGTGGACCTTAAAAAAACATGTCACATGCAATAAAATATTCAACATATTAAAAACTAAACTGCATACTTTTTGCTGCATATCTGATTTGAAGATGATTTGGATGACTAATATTATTCTTTCTGTTCCTTTCTGGCATATTTTTCTTAGGAACTTGTTGAATTTTGTACCACATGATTTAGAATTCGCTTTCAAGTTTAAATATCTTGTTGACACCTGTAAACGACTTTTTTCTGGAAACTAAATGTTTTTTACAGTTGAAATAATCCTTTGTACTAGATGTGATGTACTTAGCAGTAAAACTGGTTAACTAGATGTATGATCAATCTCATTTAAATACGTTGGACATTCTTCAATTTTAGACTAAATCCTGGACATCTGGTGACCCTACTGAAGCCTCAGTTTGATACTGCAGGAGAGAAGAATTCATATTTATAGCTAGCCTTGTTTTAGAAGCTCAGTAAGCATAATAAATGACCCAAATAGAGAATCACTGGGATGTGTGAAACATGAAAGAAGGACAATGAATGTTGCTTACAGCAAAAATGTTTAGTCTGATGTAACTGATGTAAAGAATATTTAAAATATATTTTTAAATGTGTTACCACTATATGGCCAAGTGCAAATATTTACTGTATTGAACATCCATACCTTATATGCAGCAGCAGGTGTAGAAAATAATAGCAAAACAGCAAACATTCTTTTGATTAAATAAACAGTTGTGGTATGTGAGTTTTAGACATGGTTTAATTCTTTATTGTACCAAATAATATGGTTACCAGAATTTATTTACTCTTATCACAATTTAATTTTAAATAACATGGCTTAAAATATTTTGTATTTTTTTATTCCAGATATAGAAGTTGCTTGTTATGGCTATGAAGGAATAGATGCTGTAAAGAATGCTCTAAGAGCTGGGATAAATTGCTCGACTGAAGAAATGCCTATTAAAGTAATATTACTAACTAATATGATTTTTTTAAGAAGTTTTTAATTCCTTTGCATAAAAGTATTGAAAATATTTCAGATCAACAATTTTCTCCATTTATAAATATACAATAGTTTTATTGTTTTTATTTTTAGTATTGTAATTAATTCAAAAAAATATTTGCATGTGTTTAATTTCATCATTGCACTGCTGTTAAATAATAACCAAGCTTTGTTGGGTGCAACATTTGCTTTTTAATTCATTAGAAACTTTATCATATGCCTGAAAATTTAAAAAAAAAAAAAAAAAATTCATTATTTGTTTAAAAAATGTATAACTGGAATGACATAGATACTGATATTAAGAACTAATATGCTATAAAAATAAACTCCCCTTTTTTTTAATTTAAGAACTATTGTTAATAATGTTTATTATTTTTTAAGAAATAAATACCTGAATAAATAATTTGTTTTTCATATTATCTATGTCACATTTAAACAATACAAATATTTAGGCCTTACTGGAATCCCCTGGCTCTATTGATATTATTTGTGAAGTTATTCCAGTTTTAAGCATTTCAATTTGATATACATACTAATAACAACACAGCACTTTAAATATTCTCTTTTCTTGAATGGGTTATACTAAGAAAGCTGTGTGTGTGTAATGCTGAAATATTTTTTTCCTACAGTGTAAGCATAAGCTGTTCAGAATTAACCTGGGGCATGGGGATATTTAGAAGTTATTAAATCAGTCTGAAGATTTACATATTGAAAATTATTTCTTTATAAAGTTTTTTATCTAATTATTTCAAATAATAAATGTTTATGCATCTGTATTGACAGTTTCAGATTGCAGAAGTTTTGAATGTAGACTATATATTCAATATGTGCAATACGTTATTAAATTACTATTGAAATTTCATTACAGATAAATTTAATAGCTCCACCTTTATATGTGTGTACGACTACAACTATGGAGAAAGCTGATGGATTAAAAGCATTACAAGATGCAATAAATAAAATTGAAACTATGATTAAAGCTTCAGATGGAGTTTTTAATATCCTTACAGCTGTAAGTGTTGTGTTTTAATACATTTCATTAGCTTTACAATTTTTAAAGTGGTATACTTCTAAAGTAAGTGACTCTTTACTATTTATATTAATTGTGATTGTTTTAAATTTGATACAGTTGCCTTGTGTCTCTATGAATCTCAAATGACAAGATTAAATACTTCTTCAAACTATTGTTTCGTCATTATTAACTGTTTTTAATTAGTCCACTTTGTTAATGGAATTTCTTGTATTTTTCATGTTTCACTGTCCTTAATAATATGCATTCTAGAAGTATTTAATCATTTGTTTGACTATTCTTTTCTTTAATGTTGGCTTATTTTCTTGATTCATTCTTATTTTTTCTCACACATTGGTGTTCTTCGTCATTCAGTGTTTTACATTGTGACACTTGGTTATTCTTGCAAGCTATTGTAAATGCTGAATGAAATTCAGCTCTGGCTTTGATTATTATTATTAAACTGCCTCTTCCAAATTGATCTCTTTGTGACTAGAAGTCAAATTAATAGTTGGGGAACTAGGGTCTGATTATAACAAGGGTAAGTATTAACAGAGACATTATGCAGTCTTCCTCCCCCTCTTTTTTTAATCAGGATTTTCACTAAACATAATTTTTATGCTAGTCTCTATTAAGTAAGCACACTCAATGCCCTGCTGAAACAGATGAGAATTTGCATGCATGTTTTCTGTCTTAGCTAGTTAATGGGAGAATAATTTTGCCAAGCTTGTGAAGCATGAATACAAAAATAAACAACACAATATGTAATAATAATACTCACATGTTGTTTCCTAAAAACATTTTAAAGAATCCTTATTATTTTATCGTGTGTATTTGTTTTACCATTTCATGGGCATAAACCAAGAACACATAAACATCTGCCCAAGAATACATAAACTAATAGCAGTGACGAACGATATTCTGGAACCGCTAAACCAATTTCTGACATGGAGGCCCTTCTTTTTGCAATTTTTAACATTGCACCTCCAACTGGTTTCATTGTTAACATAAAGTTTCATATTGTGGTCATTTTTTGCATACTCATTTGTCAGGTAAAAGACCTTTCTTGAAAAAATGATATGGCATCCACATCATTACTTGGTAAATTAAAGACTGTTAATGTCATATTCACAAAAAAAAAAAAAAAAAAGAAGTGAATGTATTTTTAATTAGCAATGGGAATTTGAAAGCCTCATCGAAAATGAATATTAGAACATGTGTCGAGAACAAAAATGGAACACTCTTTTAATATACAATTATGTAGTAAAGTATAAGAACATGCAACTGGTGCTAGTATACGATCCCGTGGCTAGGTATAAGAAGACACAGCCAGATTTTGGAAAGACATCTAGGTTGATTGGAGATTTAGTCTGGGGGGGGCACTATAGCAAGGAAGTACCAAAATATTTTGTAAATTTTGATTTAAAAATTACTTTTTCAATTTAGTTTTCTTTCCCAAAATATACAAATTGATTTCAAGGAATATAGCTCTCCTTAAGGCTTCACCTCAGGAACGGTCTCAATGCAAAAGAAAATCTGCCATCCTAACTGTCTCATCCGATAAAGAAGCATTGAAAAAAGAATATGAAGAGTAACTTAACAAAAAAAGAAAAATGTAAAGAACAGGTTAAAGAAAAAAAAAATCAAAAAACGCAGATTAACCGAACTAAAACAAAAAAGGTGTATTGCTTAACTTGCCAAAGTGCTTAATGCAACTCTGATAAAGAAGAGTGGATGCAGTGCTTAATTTGCAAAATGTGAGCACACATTAAAAGTATGAAAAGAAATAATTGATCATTTGTTTGAGTCTGAAATTTTGAAGAGGACTGACTTTTATGTTGATTGCTTAAATAATTTTATCTTTGTTTTACAAAAAACCACTTGATATCATTCATTGTCACTATGTCAAGTATTTGTAATCGCCAAATGTTTTTTAAATATTGTCATTTTTATTCTTGCAACTTGTCCCATGTGTGTTACATCAGATGAATAATTTGAGTAAAATATTTTTTGAGCTAAAATCAACAAACTTGGCAAAAGTTTACTTTGTGAATGTGATGAACGGATAATTAAAAAACACAGTTATAATAAAGAAATCATTTATGCATTTAAAAATATAAATGTTTTTCTAAAAATTGTAACAACTAGCCCCCAGCTCACATACTGAACATTAAATAATTATACTGTTTATCAACTACCTGAAAAATTAAAGAAATGAAAAACCAAAAACCTTAAATTATAATTCATATTAATTCAGAAAAGTTAGCTTAATACTATTTTTAAATGTGAAAGTAACACAGGAATAATTAAGAAGTAAATTTATAAAATTTCCACTAATATTCCAGTTTTTTTTTTTTTTTTTTTTTTTTTTTTTTTTTTTTTAAATTAGGTTGTCTATAATAAGTTTTTAGGTAACTTTGAGTTGTCTGAGGTACTTTCTTGTATATTTTCACTTATAATGCTTACTTTTGATGTTTTGTTTCTGGGTTAAAACACTTTTGCCAAAAAAATGTGAGCAGGGAAACTGAATGTGACTAGATCAAAAAGATTTCTAAATAATCAACAAAAATCTGACTTAATCTTAATAAAATGAAGAACTACATCACTAAAACAAATTCACAATCAAGTAGTGTAGGGGATAATTAAACAAGCAGTTGAATTTAAACATTTCTAAAATAGGTTGAGATGGGTTTAGTTGGCATGATACAGGAACTTCACTCATGAATAATTAATCAAATGATAGTATAATTAAACCAGTTAAGCTTAAAATAGATTTAAGAAAAGAATGATATGATTTAAAATAACTTATTCTGGAATAGCAAAACTTATTTGACTTTTGAAAACAAGTGCTAAAGTTATAATTAACAATTTGGGCTAGTTAAGAAAGATAATTAGTAATTACGCAATTCTGTCAATTGGTCTGAGAAGTACCCCATAAAATTATTGTTAAATTAATCCTCAATTCATTAAGGATAACTACGTATTTTCTTTTTATAATTTCAAGTACTTCATTTAAAAAAAAAAAAAAATCTGTTCTCTTTCATATGCTTTTTGATAGAGGAAAGTGAAATTTTCCGTCTATGGATCTCTTCAGTTTGGTAAGGTATGGGGAGAGAATATTATTTCCATGACTGAAATTCGCAACACACTTGATAGGTGAAGAGAAAAAATGAAAATAATTATTGCAGATGACTTTGTATTTATTTCTCTTAAATGATTAGGTAAAAGGTTTCATGTCGTCTTGCATATGTGGAACATCACGTTAGCACTTATATATATGCTTAGTGTAAAATAATCCTTATTCATTTCAGTATGTTCATGTGTTCACCTCTAAACAGTTCCACTCTTTTTCATTTAATTTTATTTAAAAGTTCTGGAGAAAGCAGTGGCTTTTTGGCACACCAGTATATAGATATACTCAATCTATTTGTTAAGATGCTAAACAATAGCCACTTCATTGAATGTTAGTGCTAGAAAACAGTCACACTATGTGCATCAACTTTTTATGTATTCTGATGTAAAATGTTATAACATTATGATGTAACTCATCAAATTAATGTTTTAAAACCTTATAAAAAAACAGACACGCACACCCCTCTTTTTTTTTCTTCCACTTTTTCTGTTGTAATTTCAAACTTTTATAGTTGCTTGATTTTGTATTTATTTTATATTTTACAAGTCTTGAATTAGAAGTTTAGTCCTCCATTTCTCCATAACAGTATCTGATTAAATAGAAATATAATCAATGCCAATATATTGTCAGTATTAGAAGATTTATTGCATTGTATCGATAACATTTGGGAATTAAAAATGATAAATATAATCCCATTCTTAAAAAGGGGTGTATGAGATAAAATTTGCATAAAGTTTTCAAAAAGAAAGTATATGAATATTTTCCTGTATTTTTTTTATATCTTAATATTTTCTTAATTGCAGCCTAAAGTTGTTACAGATCTGGATGAAGCTGAACTTGCAAGACAGTTTGATAAACTTGAAATGGAAAATGCAGAAGTATCAGGTGATAGTGACATTGATGCTGAGGAATCAGATGAGGATAAAAAAGCAGATGCTGAATGATATATATATCATAATATATTAAAAGGCATTTGGAGAAATTGTTTAAAGCATGAAATCCATAAATGGCTGGTTTTAAGGCCTTGGATTACAGCAGAAAAAAACAATCTGAACAATTGTAAACATAATGTAAAATAAATTATTTTTAAATAAATATTATATGATACAAGATAAAAATATGTTAGTTTGTTATCCAGAATGTATATTTTGATTTTCCCTTAAGAGCCTATTAAATTCAGAAAATATTAAGCCACAGTCTTTTCTCAAAATGCACTTTTGTAGAACCAGTTTTAAATGTTCTGCATATATGAATTTAGATAGACAATGACTGAAGCTGTCCTTTGGTATTATATGTAATGATAGGTTTCTTCTTCATGTCTGAGTCTGACTAAAGGAAGTAAATCTAGATTTTTAAACAGAATTTTATGAAATATTGTAGCTGACTTAAAGTTGGGGCTGTTTTTGAATCTAAAAGGCTGTTTATAGTTTTTCAAGGTTGGCAACATTCTGTGAGTATTTATTATGGATATTCTTTTATTCCTAGGAATTGAAAAGTTTCCCAGATATCTCTTGAAAATATGCAATTTTATCTTCTATGTGATATGCAATAATTTCTGAAGGAATAGAATAAATACTGTAGTCAAAAAGGGATTGATTTATATTGATTGTTTTCAAACAATCAATGTGATTGATAAGATTTTTAAGTAAATTTGAGAATGAGAATATGTAAAATTTCCTTGTATGGTCATTAGCAACTTTAAAATTAAATAAATTGAAGGAAATTTAGTGGTTAATATACTCATGCAATTTAAATTATCACGTTTGCTTATGGAGTTATGTATTAAAACCTTTTTACTAGCAGTATTTTATTTTTTAAAAAAAGTTTGAAAAGTGCAAAATATTATAGTGCTTTAAATGGACATGTACACCGCACAGAAAAAAAGAAAAAAGCCAGTTCTATAGCTCTCGTTTTACTGGGCCAATTGAAGAAATTCAACTTGCATTTTTCATGTCTCAAAAGCGCAACTTTATATTATTTTATATTATACTTTAAGATTTATATATAGCTTCTGATATAGATATTTTGACACTAAATCTTTTTCTAAAATGACATGCCAATTTTTTTCCGTATTTCGATTCCATGATTTCAAACTGTCTCGTTTCATAAAAATCGCACGAATGGTTTTTAAAAAATTAGCTCTCAAAATTTTAGTTCCTCTTTGTTAATTGAATTTGATGTATATTTATTATCTCTTTTTTTATTAAACTTATTTGATTCCTTCTTCCAGAATTCTAAATTTAAGCTTAATCCATATAAATTTTATGATTTAGTTTTAAAATTTGTATTTTTAAATATGTTTTATAAATTTTTCGAAAAAAAATTTTGTATTATAACCTATAAAATTTTTAACATCGTCTTTTTAATTATAGATAATATTGTTCAAATTTTTAACTTTTTTTTAAGTATTTGCAAAAGTAAATTTTTACCTTCACCATGTTATTGTCTGCTACTTTACTTTAACTTTATTTAAATTGAATTTTTTTAAATTGAGAAAGTTTGTTTGATGTTTATTGTCTTTTAACCCTTTCAGGACAGGCGTTCTATATACGCCTTCCCGAAGAACGTCTCTTACAGCCAGGCAGCCCAGCGGTAAAGACGCTGAACACTGGTAGTTCGGTATGAGGTTCGAATCCCGCGAACGGGCTGGCTGCATGGGCATTTTCGTGGTTTTCCCCATGTGTAACGTGTATACGAGCCAGTTTCCCTTAGAAAGTCCTCCCACGAAGGCATCCCTCCTTTTAGACAGATAGCCCTCGTGTGCTTTGCCGTAATTTAATAACCCATTAACCCTTACAGCCGGGCGCCCCATCCATGCATCACTAGAGATTGCATTCAGAGGACGGGTGATGCATATCTGCATTTTAACCTGGAACGTTTTTCTGAAGGCCACTAGATGTCCAGTATTTTTGAATACTCCACTAGATGTCCCATCCTATGTCCAGTATTTTTGAAATGAACACAGTTTTATGTTCCTGACCTTGAGTTTGATATATTCTGCATGTGAGCTCTTTAAATCGCTGCGTGCTAATATAAACATTCGCGTGTTTGATTTATATCCAATTCCTTTTTTTTTTTTCCTCTACTGTGTATGGCTTACTATGTGGTGGAGTTCTGTTACGTTTTGCATTGCCTTCAGATATATTTCCGTTTCGTCTCTTTTTATTTTGGAAAGCCTCACCTCCAGTCTATTATGGCAGAAAGGCACTATTTATCAGAGGAAGAATACCCTCGTATGGTTAATGAACCATTTACTAACGCAGATGAGAGTGATGATTCATTTTCTAAAGAGTAAGAATGCGGTACTTCTTATTCTTTAGAAAAGTTAGTGATACTTCTCCGTGCTTCGAAGTTTACCGCACTCATTCTTCATTGCAAATTTTGTTACTGCTTACTGTAAATAGTCTTTATTGTGTTGTTTTATTAATTTTAAGCTTTATTAAACTGGATTTTATCAATTAAAACTTTGGAATATTTTTAATAGCACTTCCGAAAATTCGCTTACAAGATAGGCAATTTTTTAAGTTTATGTTCATGTAAAATAAAGAAAAAAGCATTATTAAGTGCTAATCTTAACATATATAAGAGCTCAAGTAATAATCTAAAATGATACCAAAAATTACGTTGCTAGAAGTGAAACTTTTGTTTCCCTAATTTTATTTCATAAAATTAGGCTTAGCGATGCAAAACCTCTGTGCTGTACGGTAACTGCCTTTGATTCCCTTCCGTCCTGCACAAGTGTCTTAAACAAAGGTGCGCTGTCGCGAAAGGGTTAAGCAAACTGATGCAAAAGCAAAGTTTAAAAATTAAACTTTTAGCAAAAGTAGCAATAGAATCTCCCTAAGGTTTATGTACTGTGCAGACATTGAAGACAAAAGTTTTTAAACTCAACCAATTTATTAACAATATATAAAAATAAAAACACAATGAATAAATTTAATCAATATCAGAAACTTAAAGAGTATAACATAATCATTATCAAAAATTACACTTAATTGATCATCCATTAACCCCAAGGGTTTTTCCTTTACACTATTAAAGACACAGTAAATATTTTTACCTGATCTCCAAATACTGGCATTCAATACGCGAAAAACATATCACTGAACAGAAATTACACGGTTATAATGAGATTTGCTTCACTATCAATAAGTCCATGCTTTATGGTCAAGAAGGCACCTGGAAAAATTAAAATTAAATCCTTGAGAGCACTTAAACCGGCAAAACACCGCTCACTGTAGTTACACATGAGAAATCACAGCTTAGAAAATCATCGCCGCTAATTCAGGAAAAACACTTGTGCTGAAGATGCCGGCCATGGCAGTCGCTCAAATCGTAGCCTCTTTTGAGAATCCAGGAAAAGTCATCTTGTAGACTGGAATCACGGCACTTATCGCTGGACTGCACGCATCGCTATATCATCTTCCAATGGGGCCTGGAACGGCACACCAAAGAGCAAAGAAACAGGAACCAGAAGGAATAAGCCATTTTTCCATTTCCATTTTCCGCGGTAATACTGGACTTAGCCTGCATGGATTGCAGGCCAGTTATCGTTTAATATGGGTTCCTGGAAGTACAAAAAACAGAACAAAGGTGTCGCAGAGACAAGATGTGAAAATAAGGGAAAGTGTGGCACTTTGCCACTAAAGAGTGTAACATTGTGGGGTGGTGTAAAATACAAATCAGATACAAGTATGCAAAAAAGTTGAAATGATGAAAGTCAAAAATAAAATATAGTTATTCAGATAGAAGTTCCATAATTGAATCTTGGTTAAATATGAGTATTTACAAATATACAATATTAGCGTAGAAAGTCAAAAGTGGAGCCATGTCATGTGATGGCTAGGGGTTCAACGCCATAGGCTGGTGCGGAAACTTGTGAGAAAACTTGTTTTTTAAAAATATTTGTCATTCAAATAATGAGTAACATTCAAATAATGAGTAATAACATTTTTTCTCTGAAGGGCAAGAGCTTCCAGTCAATGGATTTCACAAGAATTTTTCACTAACAGTTCGTGAAATTGCTGCAAAGTCCAAAATTTATGAGCACTGGGCGTGGCTTAGCACAGAGTTCATCAGTCTCAGTAGTGCTCTGTTGACAGAAAATATGCAGTTGTAAATAGCTTATTGAGGAATATATACACATTGGATAGAATAAAAATAAGGTAATAAAGTAAAATAATCAGTAAAATATGTACAGATATGTGCAGTCATTTCAGTAGCACTGAGTGATCCAAAGCAAAAAAAAGAAATTTTCTAAGTCCTAGGTCACGTGAGGGGCCACCCTCCCGAACTGTGTCTTCGACGGATGCTGCTTGGTATTGGGAGATAAAGTAGGATGATTATCGTTGGCATTTAATGAAAATGCAGCAAACGGGCGTAGAAATTGGTCTTCTGCAAGGATTTCATAGTTTAGGGTTTGAAAAAAGTTTAACTGACTGCAATTAAATGCTTTTTGAAAAAAGTTTTCGTTGCTCTTGTGAAGGAAATCTTTTAAGGTGTCAATACGTAGATCACTATGTAACACAGAGTTCCTTACATAGTAAGGGGCATTTGTAGTAATTTTCAAGAATTTATTTTGCACAATTTGCAGTTAATTAATGTCGGCAGGTTTTGCCACAGTCCATGCAGATGCATATGTGAGGATGAGTCTCACAGCAGTCAAGTAGATGAGTCGTTTCTTGCGTAGATCGAGATTGGAGTATTTTCCTAAGATGGGTAGGAGACAATTAATGACTTTCAGGGCTTGATTCCTGACATTGTTAATGTGCGGTGTCCAGGTAAGCTTATCATTAATAGTGACCCCGAGGTATTTGGCCTGGTGAACTATGGGAACAATTTCATTAAACAGGAGAAGGTTGTTATTTACAGGGCGGTTTCGTTTTCTTCTGATGATGAGCAATAGTTGTGATTTACTTGCATTAATTTTGATCTTCCATTTACTACACCAGTTTCCGATGGATGGGGTAAAGTTCTGTAGGACTTTGATGGCGTGGTTGAGGTTAGCTGATTTCACGGCAATAGCCGTGTCGTCGGCATAGCAGGCAAGGATGGAGTTGGTAGAGGTAATTTTGGGAAAAATCAGCAGCAGTAGAAAATATACATTACAGGACCCCAA